GAATTAAAGGCTGGTCAACAAGGGAGGCATTGGCAATCTGGCTTTGTCTGGTGGATTCAAGAGGGTAAGCACTGGGCTCAGACCCCAGAGTATGCCCACTACTGATCCTGCTCTCTTCCTTGTTTATCTTCAGGCTGAGGATCACTTTGCAAGCCTGAGTCTGCACGCCTTCTTCAGGATGGACAATGAGAGCCAGCAAGCGCTCAGAAAGGCGGGAATTGTCACCAAAGATGATTTCATGGAGGGAGTTTTTGTTATAGTCCCACTGCATTGACTGGTACTGTGGAGACTGGCGCCCTTCACTAAGTCGTTCCAGAAGTACTAACATCTCATAAAGCAGATTCCCAGGTTGAGATGTCTGGAAGAGATTCAGGAAGTCAGCGGGTGCCTTGGAGAAAGAGATGAAAAACACTTCATTCACAATACTTCAGTTCAGAGCCTTCCTCCTCATTCTTCCCTCTTCATCAGTTCGAGGAATGAAAAGTAACACTAACCCTGGCTCTCCTATTCTCAAACTGGTCACCACATGTTATCACAAAAAAAGGAAGGGAAAATAAAATGTCAACTTATATAAATTGTTACTGTATATAATTTTAACATCATAATTTAAATAAAAATGCCCTGAATTTTGTTAAATGGAAGAAGACTGTGACCAAGTTCTCTGCATGCTAGTTCAGCCTATTATCCAAGAGAAGTGGATGGGCAGTTTCTCCATTGTTAAGTGTCATCATGCATTACCTGTCCATCCTTTGATATAGGTCAGATCCGGATACAATATGATAAGGTTTACAAGAATACAACTGTACTGTTACAGGGTATAATAACATTAGCTTGAAAGCCTGCCAGAGCTTTCCTCTGCCTGACTTATATCAAACATAATCAAAATAGCATTGTTTTGAATTTTTCCCCACATGTTTTTTTCTTTCCTGGGACTGAGTCGTCAGTTATTTTCTCTTAATGGCTCTCCTAACAGCGCTTGCATTGCTTTGTCAAGGTTATTTCTGCACTCCTCTACATTATCTCAGATAAAGATGAGGAAGAAATGCTATTTCTGGATTGGGGCTAGAAGGAGCTTGCATATTCATGATGGGTAACAGGGACAAGGTTGGATCAAGGGGGTGCCAAAAATATGGCAGCTAAGTTTCTTGACTATGCCTATCCTGTTGCATTGGAACCCAGGGAATGTAGATAGATTCAGATTTAAGGAACAGCTGAGACAGGTTCTGTAGGATCTGGAAGTTCTCCATAAGCAACATCTAGGTCTCTGAAAACATAACTTTATATTGGCCTTTGAATCTGCTCACTAAAATCTCAGCGTTGCTAACTGCAGTCTCTGGGCCACTTGCCTGTGATTTTAACCAATGCTGTTTGGGATTGACCAGATGTATTTATGTACTATGAATTCAGACCATGAAAATAGATTAGCAGTGCTTAGCTATATGGTGTGACAAATGGACATTCTTATTTTTTTCTGCTTTTGATCTGACTTTATTTGGCAACTATTTTGATATGCCACAGATTAGAAAGCTTTCTGACTGATTCCAGACATAAAACAGGGCTTTAAACTATATTTCATAGATTTATTTATTATTTATTTATTTAATTACATTTATATCCCGCCCTTCTCCTTGAGGACTCAGGGCGGCTGACAATAGATAAAATGCTAACATGTTATACATCTAATTAAAAATCGATTAAAAAGAAATATTTAAATACGTCCAATTTAAAAGTAATTAAAACCCCTTTAAAATCCCTTAGGCCAGTCCCGCGAGCTGGAACAACCACGTCTTGAGGGCGCGGCGGAAGGAAGGGAGATCAGGGATCACCCTGA